CCCACCTGTGATTCGTGTTTAGGAAGCTAAAGAAAACCCACACAGACACAGAAAGAACATGAAAATGTATTATTATTATTACTATTATGCAAACTCCACCAAGAAAGGCTTCAGCCGACCAGCGGGTTTAAATCCAGAACCTTCTTTGTGTGAGGCGACCGCGCAAACTTCAGCAAACTGAGCACAAATCCACGCGAAGCAGATGTAGTCGTCGTTGGCCACAGAAATAAAACTGCACGTAAACCAAAGTGTGAAAGTGCACAAGCTTTAAGGTCGGAGGGTTAACGTGCACATATATTTCACAACACCGATGCCAGCGAGAACAAAGCAGAACCGACTCCCCCGGCGTTGTATCAGCACCACGGTTCCATTACCGATTTTAACCCGCAGCGACTCTCCCAGACAAACACCTCGGTCTATACTTAGCCTCGACATATCTGAGCCTACCACACACGGAGACATATGTTTCCTTTGGCCGCCGCTGCCGTCGCGTCGGCACATCCAGATCTGCAAAACAGTGAGTCGGTCTGCTGATACTCAGCACAGGAAACCCTGAGAGTCGCAGGCCAAGCTCAGTGAACATTTAGTCAGACGGCAAAACAACGTGACAACATGCAGAAAAATGTCAGTTTCCAGACCCTGTGAAGGGTTTGCATAGCCGGAGATTAGATAAAGAACATCAATAATCCACTAACATTTGAAGTAATAACTTTATTTATGTAGCATCTTTAAAAAAACAACAGAGCGCTTTGACAGATAAGAAAATCAGACGACAATATTACAACAAAAAGTCAGTGTAGAGATTCAAAAAGTGGAGAAAACACAGTAAAAGACACAAATTACAGAATTTTGATACAAATAAACACCAGCTAACACAAATAAAACAATAAAAGCACAAAAAATACCACAGATAAGAGCACAAATAGCTTAACAAACAGGATAGGAGCACAAGAAAAAGGCTAAATATAACTAAAGAAAGTAGAGACAGAAGGTTTCATGAAACTGAGCTTGATGAATTATAACATTTGATTTAATGTAGAATGGATTAAATCACCAAAAAGCATAAAGGTTTGTTGTATATGTTCAGCCATGTGCATCATCCAGATGTGCAACTGCTGCTTTATAGCAAATCTGCAAAGTGACTGTACATGTAGTGAAATAAAAGTACTAAATGTTCCTCTAAAATGTTGTGAAGTCAGAGTGTAAAGTATCAGAAATACTCAATAACTCGAAGCTGTATTTGAATAAATGTACTCAGTTACTTTCCGTCTGTGTGCTTATGTACTGATGTAACGGTCTAATATTGTCAATATAAGGGTTAATAAAGGTCAAGTTTAGCTGCTTTAGGTACATTTTGCAGATAATATTTACTTCATCTGGATTTTAAAGGCAATGATTGTACTTGTAAAGGACTCTTTGCACTATCCAGAAGCCCAACATCAGTTACTCCACTGATTTTATATGTAAGCGTCCCCACTACTAGATTTTTGTATTTTATATTTGCACATTTCTTACTGTACTTTTAAAAACGCTGCCCGATTGTGTGAATGCAGTGACAGGATTGCTGCTGTACACTGTGCAGTGACAATAAAGGAACTGTTTTTGTTTGCATTGTTTAAAAAAAAAAAAACAGCCCAGAAACTGCCCGTGCTGCAAGATAAACGAGCCTGCATGTAAGATAACACTGTCAGCGAGTGTTGTTTTGCAGTGTGGCGGCAGCACGTTCCTGCATCAAGCTGTTTCCTTCAGATTATCCTGCAGCTGAAGTTTGGGTCCTGAGGCTGCAGTGACTGACAGCACGGACACACAGGCTTCTGTCTCCGGCCTGTTTTCAGAGACTCCACACTTTCACTCGCGGCTGTGGTCAGATGTCGGAGTTCCTACTGTACAGCAGAGAACATATCCTTATTAGGGAAAGAGTGCTGCTCCTAATATGGGGAGGCTTCCTCTGTAGTAGCAGCGGCCCAGTCTGCTGGCCCGCTCGCTCGCATTCCTGCAGCTCCAGGTTTCTCTGGGAGTTTTTCATTTCCGATTCGCTGGCTGGAGAAGGAGCAGGGCCGCCTTTCATAAGAGTCTGGCCTGGTGTGTGATCCCCCCCCGTTCTCCAAAAAAGAGAAGAAAAAAAATACACAAACCTCCGTCTAGCCTCTTTCCTGCAGTCCTCCACTTTTGGGTTTGATGTAGTAAAATAAGCCTGGCCGGGGACGGGGCACACCTGGACTTTCAAGTCGCTCACAGACTAAACCTCATTAGGCAGGTGAGAAGTCAGAGAGCACGTCGGCTTTGTTCGGGGTTTTAATCGTCGTTTATCCCTCCACTAAGTCTTCGACAGAATCCTCTAAAAAATGCTGCCCTTTCGGGAAGTTAGAAAAAGCTAATCTTCGAATCAACAAACTTCCATTTCGGGAAACGCCATTTAGACTGAGGACTGAGTTCGCCTTTCTTCCTGCATACCTTGGCCGGGCTGCTTGTTCAGCTCAGGTAACTCTGACCATCAGCATCGTCTTGTAGTTTTCAGAAATGACGGAAACGCACAGTGAATCACAGAGATTCTGTTACCTGTTGACTCATGACTGGTGATTTAACTGCAGTCTGGACAGAGCAGGTTATTTAGCGCTATAATATTTGCAGTCTTGTTCTCAGAAGTCATTAAATATACTTTACCTGAGTATTTCCAAGTCTTACTACTTTATGCTTCCCGACATTTCACTGAGTTACTTATTACTGTTCAGTGTAGGATAACGTACACTGATTAACGTTAAAACCAGGTGAATCAATGATTATCTTGTTACAGCCCAGTGTTCTGCTGGTAGACCTTGGGTCCTGCACTGACACTGATGTTATTATGTCATGTACCACCCACAGAAATTGACTCCCGACAGTCGCGACCTCCCTTAGCAGGACAATATCCTCCACCACACTGCAAGGAAGCTCTCGAGGAACACAACGAAGGCCTTAAGGTGCTGGTCTAGCCTCCACATTCCACAGATCCCAATCTGACCGAGCATCTACAGGATGCACCGGAGCGATACCACGCCACCACAGGACCAAAATGATTTGATGTTAATGTCTAGAACCTCTACAAGTCCCACGTCCCAACAAGTTTCAAGCTGTTTTGGCAGCACAAAAGGGGACCTGCACGAAGCCAGACAGGTGGTTTTAATGTTGGGGCCCATTGGTAAACAGGATAATGGTGCATAATTCCTTCAGAATGAGCATATCGAGCTTATCTGTTGGTTGTTAAAGCTGTAACAGGCAGATTCAGATGGTCAACATTTGAAGATTGCTCTGACTGAAAGTCCTCCCTGTAAAAAAAATAAATAAATAAAAAATTGCAGCGCCACATCTTGCTGATGCTACAGACTCTAATTCTAATTGGCTGATATATTTCTGGTCCGTCTATATTTTCCAAAGCCTGAAAATGGATCTAAGAGGAGGTGCAGAAGTCTAGTTTCCCATCAGATGACTACAAATACAACATGCTAAAGTGTTATGATGGAATGTTTGCCTGTAGACATACTGCCTACTCCAGCTTTAAGTTGACGTCTAACTTTTAAACTTCTCGTACGGTTTCATTTAAACACTAGAATGAGGCCCAAAATGTCAAATATTTCACAAAAGCAAAGATTTTTACATAAATTATGAAAAACTTTGATCTTTCCTGACCCATTAATCATCTTAGGACCTCTCAGATTTATTTTTTTGTGACAGTAGACTCCTCCATCAAGATGTACATATTACAACTAGCATCAGTAGTAACATCCTCCTTATGCAGCGATGGAGGAAGTACTCAGAGTTTGTTCTTAAAGAAAGGCAGAAAGAATGTAGAAATACTCTGTTACAAGTAAAAATACCAAAGTAGTAGCATAAAAATACACTTAATGCACCAAAATGGCATTTTGTCAAGTGTGTTTGTTACTTTAATGTTAACTAATTAGTCTGAATTTCCTCGTACAGATCAACGATGTTTTGCGTTACTCTTAAAAGTTGCATCCTAATTTATTTGTTGATTGTGTTTTGTGCTGTGAAAGTAAATCTGCAAAGTGGTTGTAAAGCAAATGGAGCAAAAAGTACAACATGTTCCTCTGAAATGTGGTGAAGTCGAAGTATAAGGTAGCAGAAAACTGAATTATACCGAGTAAAGTACTGGTAACTTAGAGCTGTACTTGAGTAAATGTACTCAGCTGCTTTCCATCTCTGTGAGTATATGAGGCACAAATGTCATTTTTATCTACTCTGAGTACAGTCAGTAGCTAGTACTTACTTAAAGCAGGACTTTTACTTGTAATGCAGTGTTTTTATGTTTCGGTGTCGCTGCTGTTACTAAAGCAAAGAATCCAGATCTGACCACAGCTCCTGTTGAACCGGTCTCCCTCCACAGAACACAATTTGGGAAAAGTCACACGGGAATAAGATGGAGACCAAATATCATGCTAAAGACATCATGCTGCGTTCATAATGTGTCTGACTGCAGCCCAACTGATGTCAGAGCGTAAAAATGCCCAGACGTGACCACACGAGCACCGAGAGCTACAGGACGGCACCTTGACAGATAACCAGCCCCACTTAATGAATTTCCTCTCCTGCAACCGCTCGCCGTTAATGTGCTAAAGTACAGGCTGCCTGAGCGCCTTTGAAGCCGAGGAATGCCGGGAAGCCTCGACCAGCTTTTTACACATCAGTCGGCTTATTTAATCGCATTTTTATGAGCTTCTACCTGTTGTTTTTTTCTCTGTTCCGCTTTCAAGTTGTTCGTGGCTTCACTTTTGAACTGCCTCTTCCTCCTCCTCGTCTTTGCTAAATTAATATTTATAGGCACCGGCTGTCTGTTTGTGAAGTCAGTCTTCAGGAATTCCCAGTGTGGGGTCCCAGGCCTCTAACCAGACTTAACCTCCCCATTCCAGATGAAAGCCGGCTCTGAGAGAGACGGTGTTGTTTGGCCCGAGCAGCAGAGCCTTGCCTTCAGACAGCAGGAATGTGGGATGTCTGGAGTGGGGGTCAGGAAGCGAGGAAAGAATGCCAAGTATGTCCATGTTTGTCCAGGGCTGGCTCTCCATTCAGCCCCCAGTGACGTGCTGCGAGGGCCAGCGAGTATAAAGGGAGCTCCGGTCCCGAGCAGAACTCAGATCAACTCCTCTACCGAAGCTAAACTCTAGCTTTCACCAAGAAAAGATTTAAAGACCGGAGCTGCAGTTTGACAAGAGATCGACTCGATCAGAAAAGTTCCTCGAGCTACTTAAGAGACTACAAGGAAGATTTTTCTTTTCCTTTCTCCCTGGAGGTTTTTTTTTGGGAAGAATTTAATACTAGAAAGCAAGAAGAAGATGTCTGCTGGGATGAAGAACGTGATTTTGCTGCCTTTGCTGTGCACCGTGATGCTCTCACACATGGTAAGAAACGCCTTTAACCGTCTGCTCTGAGCGTTCCAGCCACACTGAGCTGCATGTCTCCCTGTCGGCTGCTGATACTGAGCGTGTTTTCTGGGTGTTCAGGCTGCAGGTCAGGAATGCAGCGGCCAGTGTTCGTGTCCGTCGGCTCCCCCTCAGTGCGCTCCGGGAGTCAGCCTGGTTCTGGACGGCTGCGGCTGCTGCAGGGTTTGCGCCAAACAAATGGGGGAGCTGTGCACCGAGAAGGACGTCTGCGATCCTCACAAAAGCCTCTACTGTGACTTCGGAGCCCCCATCAACAGGCGCATAGGAGTCTGCACAGGTGAGCCTCATCTACACCCCCCTCCCGCATCCCCTTAAGTCTCCTTAAGGTCTGAGCAGGATCATGACTTTTCTTGTGCCCCACAGCTCGGGAGGGAGCCACCTGTGTGTTCGGCGGCATGGTGTACAAGAGCGGAGAGTCCTTCCAGAGCAGCTGTAAGTACCAGTGTACCTGCCTGGACGGGGCGGTGGGCTGCGTGCCCCTCTGCTCCATGGACATCCGGCTGCCCAGCCCCGACTGCCCCATGCCCAGACGGGTCAAGGTGCCCGGAAAGTGCTGCGAGGAGTGGGAGTGCGACTCCCCCTACAGACACAGCTTCATGGGCTCTGCTTTGGCCGGTGAGTCTCGCTCCATAAGTGAATCTTTTAGTTTGAAACCCTGAGAGTAGGACAGTGTTTCTAAATCCAGTGGTTTTGTTTTTACAGCGTACAGAGAGGAGGAGACCTATGGCCCAGATCCCTCCATGATGAGGGAGAACTGCCTGGTCCAGACTACTGAATGGAGCGCCTGCTCTAAGACCTGTGGCCTCGGCATCTCCACCAGGGTCACCAACGACAACCGCGACTGCCGCCTGGAGAAGCAGACCCGGCTGTGCATGGTGCGACCGTGCGAGTCCCAGCTGGAGCAAAGCATTCGGGTGAGTTTTCATGAATCAAGACTCACTCGGTCGCTTAAAGCTGCCAAAGAATGTCGGCTGACGTCGGTTTTTCCTTCATTCTTCTCCCCGCAGAAAGGGAAAAAGTGCATCCGCACCCCGAGACTCTCCAAACCCATGAAGTTTGAGATCTCCGGCTGCACCACCACCAAGTCCTACCGGCCCAAGTTCTGCGGCGTCTGCCTGGACGGCCGCTGCTGCACCCCCCACAGGACCACCACCCTGCCCATGGAGTTCAAGTGCCCCGACGGACAGGTCATGAAGAAGCACATGATGTTCATCAAGTCCTGCGCCTGCCACCACAACTGCCCCGGCGAGAACGACATCTTCGAGTCCATGTATTACAAGAAGATGATGGGCGACATGGCGTGAGGGCGCCCGCTGGGACGATCGCAGCTTATGACTTGAAAACAGAACTCCATCTCATTTTTGCAGCTCAGTATATATGTTTTTATTTTGTTTTCTCATTGTTAAAGTAGCCCAGACGCCCATTTCGGTGTCTGCTTTGTACGGCTGGTGCACGTCAGCCTCATAGACTCAGACAGAGGGTTGCCTCAGCAGCTCCGAGAGATTCCTGCACTATAACTTCTTTTGTTTTTTGTTTTTATTTTTGACGAACCTACTGTCAGGTTTCCACCAGTTTCCCCCTAGAAACCCCTCTTACAAGCCCGTCCATTTTTACTGTATATGTAAACCTTGACCTCCTCTGTAAATGAGGTGTCTAATGAGTCCAAGACCAGACCTGCAAACTCTAAGCAGCTGCAGAGGGAGACCACAGTGTTCCCTTGTCCAACCAGGTCTCAATGTGTCCTTGTGCGAATGTGTGAGTTTGTGTGTGTGCGAGCGAGCGAGTGCGTCAGGCCTGAATTTCAGCCTTGTCTGAGTGGAGGAAAGGTCAGAGTTTCCGCGCGACACGTGGACGAGAAAAGCGAGCAGCAGCGAGCAGAGCTAAGGGTCAGATATGGAAGACAGCGGGCTTCGCCTCGGCACTGAGAAAAGACAAGAAAAGGAGAGCGTTGACTTTTACTGATTCAGGTCAGAAAGAAGAAGAAGAAGAAGAAACCGAGCATCTATAGGAACAAAAAAAAAGAAAAAACTGTCTATTTTGTACAAAAAATAGAAGACTGGAAGAATTGTAATTTCATTCCTTTTTTTTTTATTGTTATTGTCGATGTGTAAATTGTGTGTATATTTGTACAGTTTAAGTTAATTTAAAACAAAAAAAGCTAACGATGTTCTGTGCTTCGAAACGTATCGATAGCGTATTTTTTTGTCGACGGTATTTTTTACTATTTTATTGAGAAGTGTGACAAAGATGTTACATGTTTGACTTTGTAGCTGGAAATAAAATCTTATATTTTTATACAAACACGACTTCTCCTGTTCTGTTGCATCATTTTGCACCTTTTCGCTGACGTTCAAAAGCATATTTTACACAAAACCTGCATACTTTGTCCTTCTTACACCACCTAAGTGTGAACTAAAACACACCTTCCTAGAAGAAATCAGCCTCTGCTTCACACCTGCAGAGGCTGGAGGGAACGAAACAGGATTTCTTTTGCTTTAAATCTGCTTAAAATGTTTGTCATTGACCTCCACAGCAGAGCAGTCATGTGGTGATCTGTAACATGTGGTTCGGTTCTTCTGCTTTGTTCCTGAGGGTTTATGTAACATGATTTACAGCCACTGACTGGAAGCAGTAAAGACGAATCCTGAGTTCTTATGCACATGTACACATGGGCGTAGGTTTCCGGAGGGGTGGAGACGCAGAGGGTACGCTTGGATTTGTTCTCCACGATAAAAATAGAGACGTTTTTTGGGGGGGAAAAACTACTATGAAGTCACTCTTAGATATAATGCATGTAGAGAAAGCACAAAGTGGTGCATAGAAATTCACCAAAATGCAGGAAAGTTAGTGTGAATGGACCCAGAGTCCCTGCTTCATGTTCAAAGCTTAAATAAATGACACATGCAACCGACAAAACAAGAGGCCAATCGTGAAATGACAACAACCTGAAAGAGGATTTTTAAAATTTAACTTTGCCGTGAAGCATTCTTGCAGGTTTTTCTGTTGTTTTTGCAAAAGAAGTGATGGAAAAAAATAAGAACAAAATGTCCCGATATGAAAATCGAAAGCCAAAAGTGCAACAAGCTGTGACTTTTCAAACAGGTTAGGTTTGAAAAATGGCATGAAAAGTGTCAGGAAACAGGTTTTTACACTGTGGATGGTTAAAAAGTGACTTTCTGGTTGTTGTGTCGTCTTTGTTTGAGCAGCATTTTCTTACATATTTCTGATTCTCAGCTACCGAATTTGAAAAAGATTCTGCAGAACAGCTTCATGGTTCGTTTGTTTGTGTTGTTCTGTGAAGGGATTATTTAAATTTTTATCTCTAAAGCACTTTCCAGCCAAACATCTGCAGTTCAAGGTTGTGTTTGAGTGTTTATCTGTTTGCAGTAAATCGTAGCGCTCGTTTTGTTTTGTCAGAAAATGCTTCACACACAGGAGGAAAATGTTTAACGTGTTATATCGTTCATACTGAGCTGTTTTTAGAAGTTTTCCTTTAACTTCACGCCTTTAGGGAATAAAGGAGTAGAAGTACGATCCAGTCCAATAGTTCACAGAATAGCTGGATGTAAAAGCGAAACTGACGGTAAAGTCAGTGACTG